GCCTTTGTGCTCAGGACAATGTTTGATTGTTTTTCATGGGATTTCCTTGTTTGGATCGGCAGGACCAATCCGTACAAGCAGGCACGAATTCGACCAACGGAGCTGAAGGCCGGCCAGGCTGGTGAGCAAGGCAAATTCCAAATTAAAATGAATGAAATAGTTGCATTTGCAGAATAATTAGACAAAATGTAAAAGATCTGTAGATGATTCACTTGATTTTAATGTAAGATGCAGAGATACGCCTAGTGACATTCTAATATTCCTGGGCGGGTGGAATTATCTACCAAAATTGCTCGGTGAGGTATAGGAATGAAAAACTGCACAAAATAGCGGAGAAGAATCGATGTATGATTGAGATTTTTTATAACGAGTAAATCTGACAGGTTCAATTTTGATCAACAATACCAACTTAATCAAAATTCAGCAGACGCAAGGCATTATGACAGAATAGATGACCAGGCTGAAGAGCAAGGTAACTACGTATTCTAGATTGAAATGTGTGAAAGAGTGGGACTCCTACAATGTTTCGATATGATATTTCAATACCAGAAGGTCAAAGACTTGTTTGCTGTAGAATTTAGAAAAGCCCAATGTGGCCATATCAGAATCATGGACACTCCTGTGAGGTATGGCAATGAAGGGCTGAACAAACACGCCACGAAGAAAATGTGCTTTAGTAAGTGTTTTAAAACAAAAAAAACTCTCTTTTTCTGTATCATTAAGACATATAATTCTTGTGACAATTTGAAACGGTGTATGTTATAAGCTGATTCCTTTATCTAGTTGAAAAGACCAGGTAGGCTTTTTGGAATACCCGGGTCGACTGATACATGTCGAGGATGGATATTTTTAAGTGAAAAAGCCTGGTGACGAACTCGTACGTTAGTTTTCAAGGGGCCGCGATCATGGCTTGCGTCTCTCGACTTGTGCTACGTATGTATTTGATGTGACATTGACCTATCCACATTTCCTGTGGAATTGTCTTGACTTTTCCAACCCGGGAATGGTTTTCTTTTTGCTCATTCTACATTACTTCAAAGATGATAAAAAATTACTTCGCCTTTTGTAATATCTTTACAGCTATAGATCTGATCGATACCTTGGAGCTAATGACCTATTTCACCCAAATCAGTGGGGCTTCAAGAAGGGTGTCTCCACTGAATCACTACTTTTGTATTTAACTGAAACATGGAAAAAGGCAATTGATGATGGCTACAAATTTGGAGTTCTTTTTGTCGACTTTAAGAAGGCGTTCGACACCGTTGATCATACCATCCTTAAATCTAAATTGTCAGTCTTAGGAGTCTCTGGTGTATTCCATGAGTGGATTGCAAGCTACCTTCATGAAAGATCGCAATACGTCAAAGTCAACGATGCAATATCAAAGCTACGACAAATTCCCATCGGTGTTCCCCAAGGATCTCTACTGGGACCCATACTCTTTTCAATATATGTCTACGATTTACCAAATTCGTCCGAAACCGGATGTATCCATATGTTTGCAGATGACACTACTATCTACTATATTGGGAAAGAAGTCGAAGAAATTATTGATGCGTTAAACCACATCTTAAACGACTTCAGAGTATGGTGCTGCAACAATCATCTGACTGTTCACACTGGAAAGACTGTGGCTATGCTGATTTCCAATCATTCTTTTGTTGGTCCATTGAAACCTGTTATGTTCAGAAATTCTTACATTCACTTCACTACTAAATCCACTTGCTTAGGGGTTGAAATCGACTATAAACTGAACTGGAAACCCCACGTAAAAGCACTGCACACTAAGTTTGGAGGAAAGCTAAAATTCTTGAAAAATTTTAAAGCCCTTCCCTCAAGTGTTTTAGAGGAAATATATTTTAAAGGGATTGTCCCGAGCATCACTTACTGCATCGCTATTTGGGGATCCTGCTCACTATCTACATTCTATATTTTAGAACATCTGCACCTAAAAGCAGCCAAACTAGTTCACAAACTCCCTACCGAAACTCCTGACACTGACGCTCTCGACCTTGTAAAATGGAAACCTCTAGTCTATATTTACAAGCGTGGGCTCGCTTCTATAATGTACCAGATCTATCATAATAGCTTACCTGATCAACTCACAGCTCTCTTAGAAACTTGCAACACTAATACTAATTATAATTTAAGGCGCACAAATCACTTCTCGCATGTACGGTACAATAGCAACATTGGCAGAATTAATGTAAGATATAGAGGACCCATCGTTAGGAATTTGATCCCTAGAGCCATCAAGGACGCTTCCTCCTATCAACTTGTTAAACAAAAACATAGACAAGCCTCCAAGATACTGGACCAACTCCAATTCGAAAAAGAGGCCTATCTGATAACATCAAAACGATCAGATTTCTTATATTTTTAGTTTTTAAATTTTAATTAATGAATTTATTTATTTTATTTAAGATTTTATATAAATATAGTTTTTTTTATAATTAAGTTGTCGGCAGGTCCACACCAGCCTTTAGGTTGCTGCAAACCGACCTGCCTTAACAAATAGTATATGTATGTATGTTTATGTATGTATCGATACATTTAAGTAGTAGCTTTAAATTTGTTTACATTCAAAACAGATCCAACGAATGAAGTTGAAGGAGAGATGATAGTTGAAGAGAAATTCGAAGACACGATCTCCCAACTTGGTACGCTTTTACTAATTACGACTCTGCTCAACTAGGTAGCGTCGGGGTGAGAATTAAGACCAACGAAGACAGATTCTTTTAATAAGAGTCAGCGAAATGATTATCAAATTTAAGATTGACTTCATAAGTCAAATTCTCTCGGTTACTCTGGGTATCTCGTAGAATTACATGCTGATGTTCTCTAGGTGACAAATTGAATCCATGCATGAATTGAATTTCGCTACAAAGAATATCTGAAAACTTGCACGGATCTATTGTAAATATGACGTATCCTTTGCTAAATCCCATGTGATAAACCACTAAAATTGTGTGTATAGTAAGGTTTTAGCTTTTTCATTCCAAACTTGTTGATGGTATGATGTAAGCCTAGTTATATGCCTTATTTCCAAAGTGTGTGGATACTCTTTAACACAAATTGAAAAACTCATTTAATTTTGTTATTTTCTCACAGACACTCCCAATCGAACGCCACCTCCTCAGCGTGTAAACAACGATGGTCCAGGTACTTAGAACATTCCATCACATGTTAAGGGTGTTTTTTTCTATCAAATTAGGTGTGGGATTTGCATAATTATCTGACATTAAAATAATTTTGTAGAAAATTTGGTTCAAGGGTAAGGCTTCATGAGAGACAGGAAAAAATTAGTTGAAAACATATTTTCTCATCTTTAAGCATTGCCAAATAGCAGAAGAAGAACATGAACTCAGACACAAGTAAACCATGAAATTATGTCAAAGGGAGCATTTTTTTCGCACCAATGAACAGGGGGCTGAATTAGTAGGGGGGGAATTGAGGACACTTCTTTCTTTATTTTTCATTGTGGCTGGGAAGTAAAGGAGAAATACATGCATGTGAACAATGTGTGAAACTTATTGTTAATTCTCTGGTGAGTCCAGTTCTTTGGAAAACCCTATATACAGCTTCTAATAAGCCCCTCAATCTGAAGAATCTGAACGGTAAGGACTGTGAATGTGTATGGGGCAGTAAGATTTCATCAATGTTGGTCTTATTTGAATAATAACTGCTTGCTTACTGATCTGCCTTTTCTTTTAAACCTTATTCACTTTCTTAATTTTGATGTCCTAGTGTATCTTAGCAGTGATGATGAAATGATGGAACCTCAATCCTCATCAACACCTAGAAATGCCATATCCACTGGTATGAATTGCAACGAATGTAACTCATTATCAGAAAGTTTTCAAGTGTTGAAATGGCTCCATAACATCTTTTCTTTATCATATAGATCCTCACAATACTGCGGAACATTTTACAAGACAATTTTATGGCAAGTAGTGAATGGCATACACATTACTGTGTTGTTTTGAAAAACTAGACAAAACACGAGAACTGATAATGAAAGCAATTAAATGTTCCAGTCTTTTGTTTTGTTCACAAAGATCCTCTTCTTAGCAAAAAATTTTCTCTAAAAGTTTAGGGAGTTTGTGATAGTCCTGCGTTGGAACATTAAAAAGAGGAAGAAAATGACTTTTATTGTTTTCTTTGGAATGTCTAGATTTTGTACATGATGAAAATTTGATCTCATCATTAATCTAATGAAAAACATTCTGTTTCTTATAAAAAATGCATACTTCAATTTTTTTTTCAGATAAAGTGGAGATGGTTTCAATGGGTGTGGTAGAATGTGCGCATTTTGGAGGGCCATCTACTGCTCATGTATTAAAAGGTGAGCCATTCATAATTAATAATATCCTGAGATGAGTACGTTAAGGGGGAAGTTGCATATTAACAAAACTGATGGCATTTAGCATAAGCTCATGAAATGGATTTAAATCTCCAATTAGCAAATGTTCTTTAAAAGCCATGTATATGTATGTTGTGTCATGTACACAAGCCTGGTTGGGTTACGTCCTCACCCTTGAACTGCATCAGCTCATTAATCAGGTTTTGCATGTTTTTCCATTTGAATAAATACTGTAATCCCAACTTTTGTTTTGTTTGTGAAGCTGGTGAAGTAGAAGAGATGGAGGAAACCACAGTACTAGAAGAACTTGGTTAGTTCATAAGTTCTTTAGAGAGACCAAATGTTTATATTGAATAATAATGTATATAGACTGTACCATGTATTTTCCATGTGTGTTGCTGATGTTTTACTATGCTATTGTTGATTAAAAATGTACAGATCCTGCTACTGGACCAGCCTATGATGTCGCACTTTTCCGCAAGTTTTTGAAGGCACATAAAATCCCTCCGAGACCTCCCATCATCTGCTTGTATGCTTTGCAGGTATACTGTGTTCAGTGAAGTCCACATTTAAGGGGTACATAATTTTTCTATTTGTTATAAGGACTAATAGGTTTAAATCTTCTTGTAGGTGACTCGTGGATAGTACTGAGACCATCAAAAAGTATTGTGTCCTGGTCTCCTATGTAGGATCTCAGTTTGATGTGGAAGGTAGCTAATTTTAAACTTCTTCTTCAAGGTTATATTTGTTGAGCTAAAGTGAAAGTACCAGTCAGTGCGTAGATTTTGGGAGGCAAATTAAGAGGCTGAATTTGTAATTGAATATGATTTTCTATCTTGTGGATACAAGAGGCTGAAATTGATTTCATGGATAATTGCATTAAGTAACAGAATGATTCTTAGCCTTTGGTGAGAACTATCGGTGTAATGGCAAGTGGCATTACTTCTTGCTACCAAAGCCGTGTTGGTTGAGGCCATTTCTATGCAGAAATCTCTTAGTGTTTTCTTTTTCTATTCTAATGTTACTCTAGTTTGTGGGAGGTCTGATCACACGAAAGATATGGAGTTGGAGTGTCGCATTTTTCAGCCCATGATGTCTCCTGTGAGACTAATTACAGGAGACATCATTACAGGTAAGTGAATTAGTTACCATGTAGAAAAGAAATGTTATGGCCTGCCAAATTAAATAGCTATTCCCCTTTAGATGGATAGGTAATGTCAGTAATGTTCATTAGTATGTTTGAAGCATGGAAATATTGGCAAGCAACTGAGAAAAGTACTAATCAGTGATATATTTTGTAGGTGGTCATGCAGATATACTCGATAAAATTGAAAGGGCAGTGACAGAAAGCTGTCTTGCAGCACAAGGTGTGTGTGAGCAAAGGTATGAAGCAATGCTTGATGTCTCAATTTTATCTTAAAATGTATATGAAAAATAATGTAAAGAGTGCAAAGGTCACAAAGCCTCACTCTGTAACCCTTAATGCCCCATGCCTGATAGACACTGTCTTGTGAAAGAGGCAATAAAATTTATTATGTTAGTGGTACCTGTAAAAATCAATCTTTTAGCTGTCATATAAGTTAAAATAAAATCTTTTTATACCTTTAGAAAACTGTTGGAGGATAGAAGAGAGTTCCGAAGAGTACAAGAGGATGAACTCAGACAATCAGTAAGTTATGATGAGATTAATGGAGTATTTGCTGGAGAATTGGGAGAGAATTTGCAGTTAATATACAGTTCAATACTAGCATCCTATCTCCAGGTCAATGCCATGCCAATGTTGGCTTCTAAATACATGGCTTTTAAAAGTATATCAAGTGAAAATAGTAAAGTGGGTTTTGCACGACTGTTGATTAAGGGGATCTAAACAAATTTGATTACCCACTCTCAGAGACATGTGATTGTCTGGTTCCTTTTTAAGTCCAAACTCATCTGTTTTTAACAAGTTTACCAAGCTGGCTCTCTTTGATTTAAAAACTCGTGCATTCTAGGACTTTTACGAACACTCAACTGTTGCTCAAATGTCTTTGTAAGACATTTTAGACGTCGAGCTTTTAAGACATTTTATACATCTTGCATTTTACGACATTTGGAACATCATGCTTTTAAGTCATTTGAGACACTTGAGATACTTGAGACATCGTGTTTTTTTAAGACCTTTGTGACATCGTCCTTTTTAAGACTTTTGAGACATCGTGCTTTTTAAGTCATTTGAGACATCGTTTATAACAAGAGACATTGCATTTAACGACTTTTGGGACATCGTGCTTTTTAAGACATTTGAGACATCGTGCTTTTTAAGACACTTGAGACATTGTGCTTTTTAAGACCTTTGTGACCTCGTGCTTTTTAAGACATTTGAGACATCGTGCTTTTTAAGACCTTTGTAACATCGTGCTTTTTGGGACATTTGAGACATTGTGCTTTTTAAGACATTTGTGACATCGTGCTTTTTAAGACCCTTGAGACATCGTGCTTTTTAAGACATTTGAGACATGGTGCTTTTTAAGACATTTCTGACAAAATGCTTCTTAAGACCCTTGAGACATCGTGCTTTTTAAGTCATTTGAGACATCGTGCTTTTTAAAACATTTGTGACATCGTGCTTTTTAAGACACTTGAGACATTGTGCTTTTTAAGACCTTTGTGACCTCGTGCTTTTTAAGACATTTGAGACATCGTGCTTTTTAAGACGTGTGACATAGTGCTTTTTAAGACACTTGATATATCATGCTTTATAAGACATTTGATACATTCGTGCTTTATAAGACATTTGATACATCATAAGACGTCACATCTTTATAAGACAAGACATCGTGCTTTTTGAGACATCGTGCTTTTTAACCTTTGTGACATTTGTGACCTCGTGCATTTTTACTTCTGGGACATTGTGTTTTTGAGAGTCATTTGAGACATGGTGCTTTTTGACATAGTGCTTTTTTAGTCATTTTAAGACACTTGATATATCATGCTTTATAAGACATTTGTCATATTGTGCTTTATAAGACATTTGTGACATCGTGCTTTATAAGACCTTTGTGACATCGTGCTTTTTAAGACACTTGAGACATCGTGCATTTTACTACTTCTGGGACATTGTGTTTTTTAAGAAATTTGTGACATCGTGCTTTTTAAGTCATTTGAGACATGGTGCTTTTTAAGACCTTTGAAACATCGTGCTTTTTTAGTCATTTGAGACATCGTGCTTTATAATACATTTGTCATATCGTGCTTTATAAGACATTTGAGACATCGTGCTTTATAATAGATTTGATACATCATGCTCTATAAGACATTTGAGACATTGTGCTTTATAATACATTTGATACATCGTGCTTTATAATGCATTTGATACATCATGCTTAATAAGACATCTGGGACATCCTGCTTTATAAAACAATTGAGACATCGTGCTTTATAAGACATTTAAGACTGCTTTATAAGACATTTAAGACTGTGCTTTATAAGACATATTAGACATCGTGCCTTATAAGACATTTGAAACATCGTGTTTTGTAACACATTTGATACATCGTTTTTATAAGACATTTGAGACATCGTGCTTTACAAGACATTTGAGGCATCACGCTTTATAATACATTTGAGACCTCGTGCTTTATAAGACATATGAGACCTTGTGCTTTATAAGACATTTAAGACATCGTGCTTTATGAGACATACAAGACCTCGTGCTTTATAATACATTTGAGACCTCGTGCTTTATAAGACATATAAGACCTCGTGCTTTATAGTATATTTGAGACCTCGTGCTTTATAAGACATATGAGACCTCGTGCTTTTTAAGACATTTGAGACATCGTGCTTTATAATACATTTAAGACATCATGCTTTATAAGACATTTGATACATCGTGCTTTGTAAGACATGATACATCGTGCTTTATAAGACATTTAAGACATCGTGCTTTATAATACATATGAGACATCGTGCTTTATAAGACATTTAAGACATCGTCTTTATAAGACATTTGATACATCGTGCTTTATAAGACATGATACATTGTGCTTTACAATACATATGAGAAGTTGTGCTTTATAAGACATATGAGACATCATGCTTTATAAGACATTTGAGACCTCGTGCTTTATAAGACCTTTGTGACATCGTGCTTTATAATACATTTAAGACATCGTGCTTTATATCACATATGAGACGTCGTGCTTTATAAGACATATAAGACATCGTGCATTTTACGACTTCCGGGACATCGTGCTTTTTAAGACATTTGTGACATTGTGCTTTTTAAGACACTTGAGACATCGTGCTTTTTAGCTCATTTAAGACGTGCTTTTTAAGACCTTTGACACATCGTGCTTTTTATGACATTCGAGAATTCGTGCTTTTTAAGACATTTGAGACATCGTGCTTTATGAGACATTTGAGACATCGTGATTTATGAGACATTTGTCACATCGTGCTTTATAAGACATATAGCACATCGTGCATTTTATGACATTCGAGAATTCGTGCTTTTTAAGACATTTGAGACCTGGTTTTTAAGACATTTGAGACATCGTGCTTTTCAAGTCATTTAAGACAGCGTGCTTTGTAAGACAATCGATACATCGCGCATTTTAAGACATTTGAAAGCTCGTACAGACTTTTCTTAAAAAAAATAAAAAATAATTGAGAGCTCGTGCTTTGTAAGGTATCGGGATTTCCCTGGTGTATATGAGGATGCTGTAATGTTCTGGTTTAAAAATTAATAATAGAATCAACAAGCGTGTCCCATACTTAACATATCGACTGAAAGTCCACTCTTTATGACGATAGCAAAATCTTTGGAGTGTTTGGTGGTATGAGATAACAGCTTGCATTCCTTTTCGGCGCTCTCAATAGTCATTAACGTTGTTACTAATTTCCCCCGGGATCTAACCAATTTAATTAATTTTCAATTAAACGCACTCCGTCATTTGGAATTTTTAATTTTTACACACTAAAGATCACTTGTTTTTCGCTTAAGAATAAGTATCATGTAAATCTTTGACTTATGCTTACTGTGGATATGTATCGATAGGAGGCCGCAGACAAAGGAAAACAACGTGAGCGTGAGGTAAGTGGATAAGAGCAGGTACCTGGTAGATTTGAAGAGTCTTAATCTTTGTGTTTTCGCATGAAAACAGCACCAATAAGTGTCAGTTGCATCTCCAATTTGAATAAATGTGAACAATAACAAAGGTTATGAAAGCAAAGTTCTGAAAATACCCTGCTGAATGCCTGTAATGATCGCTGATTCAAATAAATTTGAGAAATTCCAGTAACAACCTTTTCTAAGCGTAATGGTAGAAAAATAGCTCTGCATAAAATTTCCGTTACTAAACATTTCAAGGCTAGGCAACTGACACACTTAGATCTATTTCAAGCCTACCATAGATGAATACATAATTCTTACAAAAATGTTCATAGGCAGAGGAGGAAGAAGGAGACCTTGATGTCACCGAACTAGACAGCAAATGGGTAATTACTTTTGCACTAATATTAACAGCCACTTTGGACAGCTCAAAATAGGTGACTCGAGCTCGAAAGCCTACCCGAGCTCGAGTCACAACCCTTGTAATCAAGCTCGAATCAAATCGAGCTCGATTTGGTAATCGCCCTCGAATCAAATCGAGCTCGTGTCCAACCGAGCTGAAAAATATTTGTTCCCAGGCAACCGAGCTCGATATAGATTTTTCTGGCAGGGGAAGGAGGGAGGGGGAAGTGCAGATCATGCTCGATATAAGACTATCAAGGGGAAGAGATAATATTAAAAACTATGGTGAAGAGAAAAATTCAAAAAAATATTTGGTTTTTCCTGTTTCAAAGCTAGCGAGGACATGATTTCATCCGTGTGCCTAGTATGGAAGGGGAAAAAGAATAAGGGGGGGAGAGGGGGTGGTGGAGGCGGGGAGAGGGAAGGGGGGTTTGAAATGATGACTTCCTGAATTGAAAAGGACTTCTGTATGTCTATAGCTTTCGTGACTGAATAGTTTTTTTCGTTCAATGAAGATTTATGCGGCCAAGTGTTAGTTTATCACATTTCTTCACATTCTCTCTGTTACTTCGCCGCTCATTCGCCCAGTTCTGTCACCCAAAACTCCCACAAGAGTGTAAGTTATGCAAGCGTCGTCATCCCCATATCCTTAGGTAATTTTGATGGTCAGGAAGCCTATAGATCTGCTCAGAGACAAAGCTTTACATTCAGTTAAAAAAAGGTTACATAGCTTAGGCCAGACTGATATGTCTCCATGTGATTTCTCTTTTCCCAGAGTATAAATAGGTAGAGATCTGTTTGGTGGGGCAACTGCAGGCTTAAACGATGGGTCGACCAGGGTTGTTGGGTTTGTGATTTTTAGGTTAAAAGAAAAAAAAATGCGCACTGTTTGAAGATTTGTGATGATTAAATTTGTGGCAGTTCATGTTTCGCTAGAAGGTTGTCACAGTGCTTTGGACAGTTTTTGTTCTCTGTAGGTGAGATTTTTTAAAGTTTTTAAAGTTTTTGTGTTGGTTATTTGCTTCCCTAGTGGCATTAGGGAGACTGGACAGGGTGGAGGAGGTACTTCTATGTGAGAGGGAACTTTACCAAAACTATGCTGTGCTGGAGTCCCTACCTGTCTTCTTAAATCTCACCATTGAAGAGGCTTCTATTGAATATTATAGCTCCTC